GCAGATTTGATTTGATTTGATTTGATTTGATTTGATTTGATTTGATTTGATTTGATTTGATTTGATTTGATTTGATTTGATTTTTTATTATCAATGGCCATGCTAGAGTGCCTTGAGAGCTGGGATCTTCCCTCTTAACATCATTTCCTTCTTTTTTTGCTTACCCTTTTAAACTCTTCTGCCGTCTCTTCAGCCAGCCGCCCTCCCTGGTCATAGCCACCTGCCCACCCTAACGTCGTCGTGCAAATGATGTAAATTGTGGGATTTTCCGGATAGTGTCACGATGCACACGATGTCACTTGTCCCCCTTGAAGATGCCATTCGCTTCCTGCTGTGATTAGGCTTCGGCTCCTTTCATCCCCGGCCCTTGGTGCCCCGAGGGTGTCACTTCCCTGCATTGTAGTGCAACAGAGCCAGCCGAGCCCTGGCTGAGGAAGACTAGGATTTGCCTCAGTGATGTTAGGGAGGTCCCTCCCTTGTAGGCCACCCTTAAGCATCCGCCAGAAGGCTTGATGTGGAGACCTCCAGATGTCAATTGGAAAAAAATCGGGGGGGTGATTCCCCAGAAGCTCTGAACTTGCGACCACCATCCAAATCCCTTGGACCAGCGATCACACAAAGAAGGTGTCAACAAGGAAACCAAAGTAATGCTGTTTTTATGATAAGGTTACTGTGACAGAATCTTGCAAGTCTGCAAGCGCTTCCCCCCTCCCTTCTTTTATCTTCATGAGAACCGGGGAGGGTCTCCTCATCTGAGAGGCTTTCTCAGGTTGCCCTTCTGGCCCAGACTTGGGTTTCTTTTATCTGACTGTTGTCTCGGGAGCGGATCTTCCTTCTGTCCCTCAAGGCCATTCCCTCTGCCTCCAGCAAAGGCTTCTGCCATTAATTTCTGGGCGCAAGGAGATCGGTCCTCCTGCGGGTGGCTTTATGGCGTCATACAATCCTGCTCTATTGGGGCTGCTGTGGAAAAGGTCCTGCTGCTAGCAGAGTGTCCCTGTAGGACAGGGTTCTCTTTGAACCGGAGGTGTAATTTTGCTTTGCACAGATGGCAATTGACACAGAAAAACAGGGCACCGGAGGCTTCTATGCTTTTTACTGCTTACAGTGAAGTTATTTACAACAATTACTTACAACAGGTATACAGTATGTAATACAATCCTGGGGTTCACCCAGGGAGCTCTCCTGCTTCCCCCCATCTTTCCCTTGGTCTCCCTGCCCCCTTTCTGGGCTTATCAGGAGCAAGTGAAACGAAAGAAGGGGCTGGATTTACTGTCGCACGCTCAGCACGGCTTGAGTTTCTCCTGGATTGGCTCAGCCGGACACTGACTGCTCCTCCGCTGGGGAAGAGCCTCTCTCAGGGTCTCCTGCGCTGACCTTCCCCAGGGACCAGGGCTTCACCAAGGACCGACCATCCCCTCCTTCCTGTCTTGGGTCCTGCATGAAGATGCCATCTTGTTCCTCCTTCCCATCTGGGGTCTTGGTGGAGATGGCCTCTCTCTGGGTCTTCGTCTCCTTCTCCCAGGAAAGCCACCGGTGGACCTTTCTCCTCCCTCCCCCACCAGGAACCGCCAGCTGCTCTGCACACTCGCACAACTTCACTCCCCAACTTTTTAGCCACTCTGTTTCGCAGGCTTTTTCTCTCTCCCCAGCTTTGGGTCAGGCTGGCAGCGTGTTCCCCAGTGACTGAGGAGGTGGGTGTCCGTCCCAGGGCTCTAGGCCCCCAACACTGGCTGGCCCAATGGGACTGCTGCCTCTACCCTCCCCACAACAGAGGCCAGCCAGATCTCGTGGGCAGGAATCTGGAGCAGGAACTAAGAGGACCCAAGATGCAAGGACCGGTGGAAATCTTTGCAACTGGGTCCGTGGCAGGTAATGCTCCGATCTTTTCTCCTCCACTGATAGGAAGCAAAAGTGGTTGCTGCCCCCGAGGCTGGCTGACTTTTCGCTCAAGCTGCTACTGGACAACCCAGTCACAAGAGACGTGGGAAGGGGCCAAACGCGACTGTGAAAATAAAAAATCCCACCTGGTGATCATCAACTCTCCAAATGAGAAGGTAGGTGGGCTGTGATGGGCAATCCCTTGGGTCTCCAGCAGGGGGAGACAAGGCAGGGCAGGGTCACTGCCGTTGCTCTGAATGGATCTCCCAATATTCTGAATTTAAGAATAGCGGTAGAATTCCTTTGGGAAAATGTCAGTGTGCCAGCTTGAGTTTTCTCATGCCAGGTATTTGTGAATCGGAACAGACGTACACGTTTCACATGGATCGGCTTGACGGATGTCACCGGGAACTGGAAGTGGGTGGATGGGTCGCTATATGTGCTTGACCCAAAGTGAGTTGTTGAGCATTCGCTTTCTCTCCCAAAAGGGAATTAAAATAAAATCCCCCATTTTGCACCAGCAGCCTCATTATACCGGTAGTCCTCGACTTGTGACTGTTTGTTTAATGACCGTTCAAAGTTATGACAGTGCTGAGAAAAGTTACTAATGATTGGTCCTCACACTTACAAGTGTTGCAGCATCCCCACGGTCACATGATCAAAATTTGGGTGCTTGGCAACCGACATGTATTTACAATGGTTGCAGCATCCTGGGGTCACGTGACTGCCATTTGCAACCTTCCTAGGGGGCTTCCAACAAGCAAAGTCAATGGGGGAAGCTGGATTTGCTTAATGACCGTGGCAAAAAAGGTCATAAAATCAGGTGCGACTCACTTAACAACCATATCGCTTAGCAATAGAAGTTCCAGTTCCAATTGTGGTCGTAAATTGAGGACTACCTGTATTTCATGTCATGGAAAAAACAATAGTCTATATTTTCATGGAAGAAATGCCTCCACGAAAGTATGTCGTCAGAGATATTTTTCTAGTAATCCCCACGACCTCTTTAATGGTGGCCTTCTCTTTACATTTCAATTGCTTCGCTGGGAAGGTATCGCCTAGATTCCGGTGGATCGGTAGCCTAAACATACATTTCGTAAAAAACCAAATTGACTCACATGCAAAATCAGGAAAACCAGGAGCAGAAGATACTGGCTGGCTGGGGGCAATGAGAGTTGTAATCACCGGGCACCAGGTTGGTTGCTTTGAGGTGCCAGAAGATTTAAATGTGTAGATGTGCAACCAGATTAATTTCTTTCTTTTTTTCCTGTTTTAGGGATTGGAGTGAGGGCCAGCCAGACCACTGGTATGGGCACGGCCTTGGGGGCGGGGAGGACTGTGTCCACATTGGGGACGACGGCCTGTGGAATGACAACCACTGTTCCCGCATGTTCGGCTGGGTGTGTGAGATGGAACTGGGGATCTGAACACACGAGCGAGTCCCACCCCAACTGATTCGCCGACCGGTCTATGTGTGTGTGCGGTGCATGGGTGCGTGTGAGATGGGCTGAGCATCGGCTGCCCTCCGTCCCCCCCCAGTTTCCTCGTCGGCCATTGGCTGAGAGCCGACGTGGGTCAGGGAAGGCTCGGGCCCCTTCCGTGTGAGGGAGGGCAGACCCCAAACGCGTGCAGGTCGAGGGAGTTGCACAGGGCCTCAGAAAGGTCTGCAATGCAGAACTACTATAGGAGGCCTTTGCTGTCAAAAGATTAGGAGGGTTAAAAGGTGAAGCGCCCTAACCAGATGTCTTTTCAAAACAATAAAGCCTTTTCAAAAGCAAGCATCTGTCTGTCCTGTGCTTGGGGGAAGATGTCTTTGCGACCGTGTTTTATTTACCAGTCTATGGGGGGAGGCGTCGAGATTGCATCGCGGGGGTCTCTTACTCAAGTTCTGCCTTTCCTGCAGGACAGGAGTTCCCCAAGCTTCTCGGTTCCCTTTTCTGCAAATCTTGGAAAAGCTCAGGAGGATTAGTGGTGGTTTATACTTGGATGGGGGACCACAAGGAGGTCGCAGGCCTGTGGGTCAGCTGCGGACCCCTCCCCCCAAAAACCCCTGAAAGGAGGCAATGCAAGCCGCACCCATATTCCTGCTGGGAAAATTACCAGCTCAACTGGTAGGTTTTCCTGCACTTTTCCCACAGAAAGGCGGAGTTGAACTCATGGCTTCCGTAAGTCACTACAGGCTGCAAACGTCGTAGGAGGAGAGCTGTATTAATCCACGGAAGCCCAAAACCAGAAAGGGCCTGGTAGCCCCTTTTCCGACTTGCAAATGTTATTAAAAGACGTGCTCCTTCCACTCTATTAATTTTTCTACGGTTGGGTTCCAGAAAGATTCCCCGCAGGGTCCGTCATAAAAGATGATCTTTAAACAGTCTAAAATCATCTGCTATAATACAACCGGCACACCGCTGCTCCTTCATTCCCCCAAAGCACCCACAAGACCAAGGGGGGAGCGCCTCCCTACGTTCCTGAGGGGGAACCCAAAATAGGGGAGGTGCAGCCGAAAACACGGTGGAGTCCTTGGTGCTCTGAGCTGCTGCCCTGACCATGTTACCGCGTTGGCAAGCAACAGCCAAGCTCAGAGGGCACCCACAGTTCTACCCTCTGCTTAGAGGGTTTCTCTTCTGTTGGCGCTGAAGACATGGCCAGCCAGGCCCCCTTCCCCAGGTTTCTGGGGGACATTAGGAGGTGTGGGCAAAACCTGCTCCCTGGAGGTTTTGGTGAACAACCAGGGTGCAGAGAAGGCACTCCTGGGGGTCCCTCGGTGCCAAGCCCTTCAGGGCCTCCTGGGTGGACACCGGCCCCTCAGACCCTCTCCGCGAGCCTGCCGGAAGCCAGTGCTGCTGCGTTAGACAGGCATCGCGCGATTCGAGCAACTACGATTCCCTGATACAGGAATGACAACATTTTGGGCCAGCTGCAGTTTCTGAGCATCCTTTGGGGCAGCGCCATGCAGGGTGCGCTGCAGTAGTCCAGGAGGTGGCGTTGAGGGCATGAGTCCCTCTGGCGATGGGCACCATCGTAAGGCAGCCCGGTGTGGAAGCCCCTTCAAACCACCCCTCCTTGTTCGGGATCTCTAGAAGCGTCTGCAGTGAGACCCCATAGCAGGAGGTTGAGGGCAGGGATCCCGGGCAAGCCACCACGATGTCAGCCAGGAGGCAAATTACGTAACCCACACCACTTGCACAATGATGGCACGGCTTGCGCAGTAGCCCTTGCTCTCCTCCACCCCCTTGGAAACCCCCAGCCCTGCGGAGCAGCCTCCTTCACGGCTGGACCTCATCTGTACATTTAGAAAATCCTGATTTTGAACCTGGCAGGAGGAAAGTATTGACAGTTCAAAGATCACCGGGGTGGGGTGTCCGGTGGGAGTGGCAACAGGAGAGGCCGTTGACCAACAGCTCCAGCTCTGGAAACACTGAAGGAGAAGGTAAAAAAAATGGCTATTAATCCACATTTTGATTTATTTTGCGCCCCTGCCCACAGTCACCCCAAGCCCCTATGTTAGATCTTGGGAGGATAGGTCTTGGGAGGAATTCGCAAAGCAAAAGTGCACGTTGAGCTGCTGAAGCCATTAAACACAATCATGCATCCGGTGGACATCCTGAGGAATTCCACATCTGGACAAATCCAAGGGCATGGATGGGTTTCCCACGGGCCTATGTCGAGCGAGGGACTTCATTCCAAACCCAGACCCTATTGCCCTCTGCACGGAAGCCGCGGGGCCTGAAACGAGACTCCCCGCCTCTCCCTGAGAGCCACACACGGGCTTTTTGTTCGGACCTCCAGTTTGGGGAAACATGGCGGGCTTGGCATGTCCGGCCAGCTGCGTGGCCAGGGGCAGGGTCAGCCTTACCTAGCAGGAGCCGAACGCCTGAGAATCAGCCCCGTCTCTGCGGAAATTAGACTGCACGTTCGAAGCTCTGCTTCTGTACCGCCTCAAACGATGCGGGGGTCACTTTAGGACTGCCAGCTTACCCCCTCAGGAGCAGGGCGCCCACTTAGGAGAAGGCTGACCTTTATTTCCAAACATTTTCAGTCCCTTCTGCAATAACTCTCCCAGCAGAACGGGGAGGGCAGCCCTTCTCTCCTTCCCGCTCTTGAGAAAGCAAGGAGCGCCCGAGATTCCCGGACTCCCGAGCTCCGTCTCTGTCCTGATCGTCCGCACACTTGGCGAGCGGAGAGTGCCTCTGAATGGCCGGTCCACCTCCTGGCGGCCAAATCTGGTGGACACGTGCTGCCGAAGGCCCCCCGAGTTCTGCCGCAGGAAGCTGACCCAGGGCGGTGCCCCCGACGGGGTGGATGCAGCTCCCATCGTCCCCGGCTGGGTGTGGTGGGACCTACAGCCCAACAGGGAGACAGGATGCTGGGTTGGGGGACACGCTTTGAGCACAGAAGGGAGCCCACGTGCTCTGCTGTGATATTCCGGTTCCGCCAAAGAAACCCGAAATCCGAAGGCCGCTTGCCTGGAATTCCACACACGGACCGTCTTCCGACGCCAGACCCTCCCGGTTCCTTGGTCAGTCGGTCGTGGATGATCAAGAAGTGAAGTCCACGGATTCGGAGGGGGCAGGAGACATTCTCCCCCAAAGACATAAAGACCCCCTCTCTCCCTCCCTCCCTCCCTCCAGCAAGCCCCCCAATATTTCAAACCAGCCACTGAGCCCACCTGGGGACCCCTCCTGATGTCCCTCCCGACTTGGACCGTTCCAAAAGGGCAAAAGGGGACCAGACGACAGGGCTCCATCTCCCTTGGCATCCTCAGTGCCGTGCAGGCGCCACCCAGGTGCCACAGGCAGATCCTCCTGCTTTGCTCGTGGTCAACTCCTCCTCCGTGCCCTGGATGGGTTGGCCAGCTCGGTACCTGGCGGAAGGGAGGCCGAGCACCCGCCATGGTTGCCAGCCCAATCGAGGAGGCAGGCAGGCAGAGAGGCCCGACTGGAAGGCTTCGCGTCCTCCTCTGCCCAAGGACAGGATCCTCTTCCTCCTCCTGCAGGGTCTCCTGCAGATCAGGCTGGTGGACGCTCCTCTTGAGAAGATGGGGAACTTCTCAACCGGCCTCAGAAGGGTTTCTGGGCCTCTGAGTTGAGAGTTTGGGGATTTCCTGGGAATCAGGGAAGGCACAACCGATTCCTAGGATTGTGAAGGCACCCATAAGAGACCGTCTCACCTTCCTCAACTCTTAGACACCACAGATCAGAGAGAGGAGCAGCCACTAACAGCCTGCTATGAATCGCACCACCTTTTAAGCTCTGACGGGTCGGATGCCACGTCTACATCGTGACGATTCACAATCCACCTTCGTACAACCCGTTCAATCCTAACCTCACTTAACAGGATGGAGTCGAGTGCTCTGCTGAGGCAAAGGAGCCACCTGCGAACCTGAATAACAGCCTGGTTCACACAACCGGTGGGAAGGCAATGGCTGGGTTCCCACAGTAGCCGGACCACAAGGAACCAGCCCCACCCGGGCCTAGTCTAGGGCCTTCTATGAACCTGGGCCTAGTCCAAGGGGCACAGGCCCTGTGGTGGTTGTAGGCAACCTCTGCCCAATTCCCAGCGGAGGCATCCTTTTCGTGGCTTAATGTGCAGGGAGATAGCCATTGTGGTACATCGAGCATAGTGCATTCTCGTTCAATGGGTGTTCTGTGCAGTCCTCTCTCACACACACAAGACCACAGTATTGTGTTATTTGAAGTGTTGGCCAAGAAGTTTGAGAGAATTTTTGTTCTGTGTCCTCTGCAGCCATGGCGGGGTTTGCCCCCCAGAACTCCTGGCAACAGCGCATTTGCCCTGGCCGGAGGGTGATTCTCATCCTGCTGGGACTTCTTGTGGTTGTTACCCTGTCCATCATCACTTTTGGCTTTTTTGGTGAGTAAGAAATGTGACATGGCGTGGCAAAGCAGGGACAGGACACGACTGTGGAGTGGAGAGGATCTGGAAGGCTTGATGTTGTTGAGGAGATCTGGAATGGCAACCTGGGAAGCATTCTGCACTTGCTCACTTGAGTGAGTGGAGAACCCAAATAACAGGGTTTCCAAACCGCATTTTGTGATGGCTATTCCATTATATAACCAGTAACAGCCCCCCCCCCGGTCTGTTATGGACTGGTAAAAAGCAATTGTGGCTTTTCAGGGTCATTGTGTCTTTAATCAAAAGCTTCCTGCTTACAGCTTCTGATTCTTATAGCTCTTCCCCTATTGCTTTCTTTCTTCTTTTAAATATTTCTTTTTTTCTATCGAGTAGGCTTGTAGAACAAACTGAAATGATTCATTAGTTTCCCCCACTGGACAAGGGGGAGGAAAATGATTAACAGGGGACACCACCTCAGCCATGCTGAACAGGAAACATAAATTGCTAAGGAAAAGCTACTAATTAACATTGCAAGAGACCCATATTTAATGTCCGTTGTTTGTAAGTAAACATTACAGAGGATACTTCTCTTTTTAACTGGCCTTGTTGATAATACATTCTAGCAGTAAACTGAGTGCTGCGGTTTTCCTTCCAGTCGATTATCACAAAGCAGCTATAGCACACAGTTACCCACAAACCACACACAAAAGAATGATTTAAAGGGGCAGCCATTGTGCGGGGCCCACAACCTGCAAAGTGACCCTGAGATGCAGGAAGGCACGTAGCAAGCGAAGGAAAAGAGTGCCATGAGTTATGCTGCAGAGGGAAGTACAGATAGCAAAAGCGGATGAGCGGATGCATGGATGCGGGTTCAAAGAAGCAAGCGAGACTGCTTCCTCTTCCCAGGGCGCAAATACGGCGCAGCCTTGGAGTGGATGGAGGAAGACGTGAAGAGCATCAATCGCACGATCGTGGCGGAATTAGCTGCTCTGAAGCAAAAGGGTGAGTCGCGGAATCCTGATGTTCGGGATGAAACTGGCCCGCAAATCTCCTGGTTTTCTCGAAGGCGATTCTGCGCAGAGGGAAGTGGGGGTGGGCAGTGCATCTCCGCTGGGTCTGGCGTGGAGAGGAGGCCCCCCGGCCCCCCGAGGCTGGTGCAATTTGGAGCACAACCTTCTTTCTCCCCGCACTGGATTCTGTTCCTCCTCTTTTCTTGCATTAACCAAGACACGTGAACGTGCAACACTGTGCCCTCTTTATGCCCTTCCCAGAGGCCAACAATTTGAAAATTCTCCTAAAGGTTGACCAGATGGTGAAGAACCTGAGTGAAGAAGCCAAGGAAGGTCAGTCTGGGCTAAGGCAGGCGTTCGAAAGTCCAACCGCGGGCGAGCAAGACCTCTTCCGATGCGGCCACGCGTTCAGGACGAGATCCTCACTCGCCCAGGCTCGGCGCCAACATGCATCGCTCACGTGACTGTACCTTTCTCCACTTCCAGTGAAGTCCCAGTTCCAGGATCAGGTCACCAAACTACAGGGCACCCTGCAGAAGCTGAATTGCGACCTGGATGACACAAAACACAACCGGACAGGTCAGTTGTGCCTTTGGGAGGCTGTGCTGGGTGTGGGGTGGACCGGGTGGCGTCCCCCAGCCCAGTGTCCTCCAGATCCCTTGATCGTAACCTGGATTTGCCCGTCGGGATCTGCGGCTTTCTCCTGGATCCATGGATGACTGCTGCCCGCTGCACTGGCATTCCCCCCGACCCGCCTGCCCCAGGCAGAGGGCAGCTCCCTGTCCAGCTGTAAGGGGGTGCCCCTCCTCTTCCCCATCCCTTCTCCTCCACTCCGCCCCACAGGGCCAAGAGCCTGCTGCCCCAAGGGGTGGCGTCTGCTTGGCCACAGCTGCTACTGGGTCTCCGCTGCCCAGAAGACCTGGAACGAAGCCAGAGAGGACTGCGAAGGGAAAAACGCCCACCTGGTGATCCTCGCCAGCTACGTGGAAGTGGTCAGTGCCCGGCTGCTGGATTTCTTGGGGGCTGCTGGACGGGGAGGGCTGAGAGCCCCCCTGTTCATGCCTGCTCTGGTTTTTCTCTCACTTAGCAATTTGTGTTCCAACTCACCAAGCCGCGCACTGCTTGGATCGGTCTGAAGTACATTGGTGACGCATGGAAGTGGGTGGACGGGACCACCTACACTGTGCGCAGAATGTGAGTTTCCCCGCTGCCCTCTCTTCCAGCCCGGCCTGACTGGGCTTCTCCAACCAGGTGCCCTCCAGATGTTCTCAGGCGCCAACCCCACCATTCCAGCTAGCAGGTCCCCTTCCATGCTTTAGGTTTTGCATTTGCACGCTTGCACACTTGCCTTCCTGGGGGAGCCCCCTTCTTGCTCTCCAAAGTGTCGTGCTTCGAAGCGGCTGAAATCCCCTTGCCCTAATTCACTCCTGGAAGCGGACAGTCAACGGACGTCATTCCTCAGCAGCGGCTTTGTGGCACCCTCAGTGCAAGTGAGACACAGGAGGGGCCCTCCAAGTGTGCAAGGGTCCAACGCGGGGACCAAGCGGCTGACCCTGCCATCTTGGTGGGATCCTGTGGCCCTTGGATTAGGTGCCATGAAGCCTGGAGCAAGAGAATCATGCCCCACAGATTCAGTCCTCAGGGTGTAGACTGTGCCCTCCCTTCTCCCAAAAGTAGGGTCCACAACGCGTACATGTGGACATTTTCACTGAAGGAGCCACTGTCCTGCTGTAGAAAACCCCGGCTAGTCCTTGTCCATCAGTCAAACGTTGGTCCCCCAGCACCCCATCCCGAGACGTGACCCCTCTCTTGTTCATTTGCCCAGTTGGCGCGGGCGGTAGGCTAGTTTGCCAGAGACTGAACCGAGATCACCCTAACCCTAACCCTAACTCACCCAATACATTGACCGCTCAGCGGGCCTTCCTAACATCATAGCTGATCTCCCAGAATGGGCTTACCCGCAGTTAACTAACCAAATGCCCTCAACTGACCTGTGTTTGCATCCATCGCAGCAGAAATGAGCCGCGCTGGTGAATTCCCACAATTCGCTAGGCTACGAAGAGCTGTCTCCTTTGTGACTGCGTGATCCCCATCAACAAAGCCGGGGAACAGTGGATTCCTGCTGCAGGAGGGGGTTACATTAGAGCAGTGTTTCTCAACCTCGGCAACGTTAAGATCGTAAAGTTGCCGAGGTTGAGAAACGCTGGATCAGAGGATGGGCTCTCCTTTTGAGATTCTCTGCTACGCCCGAGCCAATGTTTTCGGCTTTCCCCATTCCAGTGACTGGAGGCCCGGGAAACCGAACAGATTCGCCAGATTCCTGGACACAGCATTTTGCGTGACGCTGTACCGAGACGGCCTGTGGAGTGACGATCACTGCGAGCTCCGATTAAACTGGGTGTGCGAAGTGCAGGCGAAGCAGTAAGCGAGGAGGAGCGGCTGTGACCGTGGAGCACCTGCTAAACCCTTTGAGCAAATAAAACTAAGGATGGTGCAAAACCCCGTGGTACAAATGGGCTTTTCGCGTGTGGCCTTGGACTAGTTGGAGTGCTCCTTCCCTTCCATGCAGCTTTCACCCCGGTATCGGTCACCAGAAGAGCCCGGGCTGGCTGGCATCGTCCAGCCCGGGGCCTGGCACAGCCTTTGCCCAACACACTAAGCTGGCTCAGTTCTAACGTTCGGGGTTTCGTGGCTTATCATACGACATCCGGCCTGCCTGGTTAGTTGAGAGTTCATGGCCCTGGGCAAACCCCGAATGTGGGGTGACTCAGGAAGCAGGCTAAGCATGTTGTGGGAAGACTGTCTACCTGGGACATGGAGACACCCAGTTAGTGGAGCTGCTCCAGAAAACCCAGGGGGTTGCAGTTTGCTAAAACAGCTTTCTCCACCTCCTGAAATTGGTTATCCCAAGACTCCGGGGATGTTATCCATGTGGGCAGCTGGAATGGGGATTGTGCACTGTAGACCTGCTGCCTGAGGGTGATGGGAGTTGGAGTTGAACAGATCTGGGGAGATCCAGACCAGGGAAGGGTCTTCTCATAATCTGGGGGGGGGGGGGGTAGGGGGGAAAGAGATCGGGGGGATCCACGAAAGGGAAGGGGGTTCCTCAAATAGGGGGGGGGGGGGGTTCAGCAGGGCTATTTGACCTGCTTGGCAGAAGAGCCTCTTTTTCTGCATTACCTGCCTCCCTTTCAGTTTGGGTATGGATACTCACATCTGCTTTGCTCCTCTTCCCTCCCCTTCACCTTTTCCTTTCATGCCATACCTTCGAGACTGCATACCTGTGGGGAGGGACTGCCTGGTTCGGACTATTGTCGTTAACTTTCCTCTGGAAAGTTTCTGGTTCAAAACCAGAGTAAAAGATTCCTCAGGCCATGAAGTACAGCAAGGAAGTAAGAGCTAGCCGCAGCCTACTGAAAAGAACGAGTTCCAAGACACTTATTAGAAGTCTAGGCCTTTATTACTATTTGATTACGGTGTTATTACATCCCGCGTCGGCCTGCGCGGATGCTGGGGGAGACCCCTCCTGCTGCTCCCCTTCCAGCCGAGCCAGGAGCCCTACGCCCTGCAAGACCCGAGCCCGGCTCCTGCGCCCGCCTCCCCCAGCGCCAGCTGCTGCAGCGCCTCTGCCTCAAACCGGAAGAAGTGCCAGCCCTCCGTGGCCGTCAGGTCCGCCGCCCCTTGACGGAGGTAGAAGTCGATGGCCCGGCGGTTCCAGTCCAGCACCCCGAGCCTCATCTGCGTGCAGCCTTTCTCCAAGCCGATCTGGAGGGCACGAGCGGGGGGCACTTAGCTGTGCAATGGGGCCTGGAGGGAGTCCCTGGGAGGGAAGGGGCCGGTGCTTTGGGCAGGGGGCAGAGGAGATCGGGAGGGCAGCAGAAATTAACCCTGAGGTGCCTGGGCTGCCCTCGTGGCTTCAGATTCCAGCTGGCAAACAGGATTGGGGGGCCAAGCAAGGAGGCTTCCCCCACCTGACAGTCCTCCTTCTTGGCAGGTGGCAACTGCCGCGACAGAGAAGGACGTCCTCCTTACCTTTGCGATCTCGCTCAGGAGCTTCCTTCCCACTCCTTTCCCTGCACGGGGAGGGGAAGAGGGGGTCAAAAGCAGAACACGCCTCAGCACGAGACTGGGAAGGGGATCCGGGCAGCTCGCGTGGCTGGCCGGCTCTCCGGCATCGGATGCTACAAGGGCAGTGCGCCGCTGTCAGCCGTTCAGGTTCACGCACTCTGGGCACACGCACACCCGCACGCAGAGGTTTTAAAAACAGCAGTTCCTTCCTGTTTGCCAGGCACCTTCCCCGATCCTTCTCCCCCTGACCAAGCTACGCACCCCGAAATTCTGGCATCACATAGAGGTCTTCCGTGTAGATGTTCCTGCCTTTCCAGGTGCTGTAAATGAAAAAATAGAGGCCGTACCCTACGATGGTGTGCCCTGGCGGGGAGAAGACAAAGGAGGATTTAATCCGCTTTGAAATGAGAGCTTTGTAACTCAGCGACTGCGATGAATTTGGGCCTTTACTTGTTTCTGGGCACCCACGTTCAGCCACATCCAGTGCTCTCTTTTTGGCCGTGTCCCTGTCCAGCGAGACGGGCAGCCTTTGCTTGACCTGCTCGTTTCAAAGCAGCACATCCAGCAAGAGCCCCGGGACTTCTTCGCTCCACCACTCGGGCAGCCGGAGGGGCAGCTGGAGGAGCCCAGGGGCCTCGGTGGCCAGTTCAGGCCATTCTAGACACGCCCTCCCTGCCGGGTCAGCCGCTGCGCTTATGTTTGGAGAGAGCCACCGCCTAAGGTTTGGCCAACCTTGGCAACTTTAAGATGTGTGGACTTCAACCCCCAGAATTCCCCAGCCAGCACTTTAAGATGTGTGGACTGCAACTCCCAGAATTCTGTGAGTTGAAGTCCATGCATCTTAAAGTTGCCAAGGTTGAGAAACCCTGGTCTACACAGTGGGGCTCACACCTGGATACGAATGGGAGCCCTACTCACCCTCTTTGCTCTGGCATCCTGGGGGGAGCTCAGCCACCACACATTTGTAGAAGGGGTCTTGACAGAAGCCATCTTCGCGAAGCCCTGTTGAGGCCAAGTGGGAGAAAAGCAAGCGGCGTTCAAAAGGGGCCGGGGGAACGCCAGGACAGCAGCCCTCCACAGGGGCCTGCGTCTTTCGAAAGGGAAAACGGTTGGTGGATTAGGGCCATCTTCTCCCTTACGTTGTTCACAGTGGCCTCCTCCCCTTTGAGGAATAATAAACTGTACGGCATTTGGGGCAGGGACCCCTTGTTCTCTGTTGTTGTCGGCCCTTCGAGGTAGTCCAGACCAGAAGCACAAACCACGAGTACCAACGCTTCCTTTATTGTAAGGTTACACAGTAACAGAATCTTGCAATTCTGAAAGCCCTTCTCTCCTGCTTTACTTTTACTGTCCAGAAAACGAGGGAGGGTCTTCTGAGACGGTTCCCATGACCAGTTAACAGATGCCGTTTTCTACATTTCAACGGCCACCTCCTCTTTTTGCCCTTACGCATCTCTTTTTCCAGGAGTGTATGGTGTACAATTCCCGTGTTCACGAGGCTTCCTGGGGGCCTTAGAGCCCATTCAATCAAGACGCAGAGCGATCGACCGCCATCGAGTAAAAACACCGAGCCTGCGCTTTTCCTGGACGGCTGTCGACCGCCGTGAGTCTTTATCGATGAACGGTACAGAGTACATGAAATAAAGGCCGAGCGTTTTGAGGAGCCACACAAATGCAAGCGTAGCCCGCCTGGATTTCACCGCTCAGTCCGGGGGCAGCCAGCACGGGAGCAGCTGAGCGCGGGCTCTGCCACTGGAGAAGACGGTGGGCACTGAGGAGAGGAAGGGCCACCCCATCATTCGCTAGGATAGAGTTTCTCAACCTTGGCAGCGTTCAGATTGCTGGCTGGGGAATTCTGGGAGTTGGAGTCCACCCATCTGAACGCTGCCAAGGTTGAGAAACACTGCTCTAGGATCAAGAGAGGGTGATCTGAAGGAGGGAGGGGGTTACCGGGGGTGGGGAGAGGGCTCAAGCCTTACCTTCATCCGTGATTTTGACCTGCTCAGGGAGTTTTTCAAAGACTGCCAGTTCCTGGGAGGGGGAGAGAAAGAGAAAAGACACCTCCGGTCTCAGGGGAGCAAAGATCCTCGCAATTCCTTTTCTCGACATCCCCGACCCCCACCTCCGAGCCCCCTAAGCCATTCCAGACTTCTTTTGACCCCAGTGGGACGCACAACCCATCTTCCCAATCTGCGCCCTGCAGGGCATCGGAGATGGGCTGAGAATTGGCACGTACTCCTGAAGGGGTTCCTTCGTTCCGGGGACCTACGGAGACAAAAACTCGCCTGCGTTTTATTTCATTTAATGTCTTTGATTTCGGCACCACCCAGCTTCAAGGTGACTGGCAGTGGGGTTGGGGGAGCAGAACACTTGCTGTCTTCAACGGGCAGCTACAAAAGGCTCTGGAAATAAGGGGCACAGACCCAGAGGTAAGAGTGCCCAGAGCTCCCTTGGCTCTGCCAGGAAAGTGCACGCGCGGGTGTGGGGTCCTTGGGGGACCTGCTGGCCCTCAGCAAAGGATCCAAAGGTTGCAGAATCCCAGTTCCGACCGATTCGGACCAGGAGACTCTCTCCGCTTCCAGCTCAGCCACGGTGGCCCTGCAGACTGGCCTAGCCCATTGGGGTGGGGGCAAAGCCCCCCAGGAGGCGGCAGGGCCAGGCCCAACCTGGCCTAATTCCTTTCATTTGATTGATTTCATTTGATTGCAGCAGCAGCAGCAGCAGCAGCAGCAGCAGC